CGGCCCCAGGAGGCCCGGAGGTTTGGGGACCTTTGCCGGGAAAGGGCGGGGTGGCCGTGATCGGCGGCTGGAGCTGTGGTTGATCCTGCGCGGCGTGCGGAGCGAGTTGGTGGTGCGCGGTCTACTTGGCTTGGCCTTTCTGGAAAGAAGAGAGCGTGACAAGCGGTGGTGGTCTTCCTCGTCGGGGGAGGCGGAAGGAACCATAATACTCGACTCCCCTGACGCTAGCTTAAGTGTCAGATGACTTGTCAGGAAAAGCCAAAGGGTTAGTGCCCCTTCATCATATGTAGAAAAGTGAAGAAAGAGGTATTTGTAGGGGAAGGAAGAGAAGGAGAAAGGGTGGTGAAATAACACTTATTATTGGATATAGAAAGGTGGTTATGTTTGTTTTCATTATTGACTGTGCAGAGAAGGGGGGGGGGGAATGAGGCAGTTCTTTGTGGAATGTTGGCCTTTCATAAAATCGAAGAAATAGTTGCAATTAAGTCTACAAGTTTAAAATATTGCTAGATCAATATTTCTTCCCACATAGATGGCAAATTATCACTGACCCACATATGTCTGAATATGTCCTATGAGTCTATATATTTAATTCAAAGTAACTCATATATTTTTCTCCAGGATGGCCGGGCTGATGTGGTTGCAAATGATGCGGGTGACAGAGTTACTCCAGCTGTTGTTGCCTACTCAGAAAATGAAGAGGTACTATTCCCCCTCACATTTTTGCTTTGAAATAAGTGAAAATTACATGCATTGTAATAAATATATTGCTCTTTTTCAGGTTGTTGGATTGGCAGCAAAACAAAGTAGAATAAGAAATATTTCCAATACAGTCATGAAAGTAAAGCAGATCCTTGGCAGAAGGTATGGAATAAAATATCACTTCAACATATAGGTAATAAAAATGTGTGTATACATTCTAAGCATAATGTGGAATGAAACTAGAAACACCATTTGTTTCTTCTGGGGTTTGTTTTTTTCCAGTTTTTTCTGACTGAGTTATTTCAGAGAGTACTTCAGTAGCCAGTTTCTTTTGATGATTAGTGTCAAAGATGGGTTTCACTCAGATGTTTATTTCTTGCTGACAGATCTGTTTGTATTGATAAATACCAACATTCCTTTCATTTTGATAGTTTGTGTCATTCAGAGGTGGTAATTTGGACTTCTTAGATTTCAATTTTTTTTTTGACTGAGGGAACTTGAAAGATTTTGGGGGAATTTGATGACTTCTTTGCACTGTAGTTGATTTTTGCAAAATCTATTATATTTGGTTATAATTTATGTAGATACTATCGATTTTCTTTGGGTCCTTTTGTGACTCTTTCTGGGAGCTAACTTTTCCAGTGGCTTACAAATTTAATCATTAGAGAAACAGTTTAATTAGCATCATACGCAAGAATCAGGTTAATCATCTGTTACAGCTTTAATTAAAAGATTAAAGAGTCTTGCTTCCCCAGACTCATGTCTTCTCAAATTATAGATTATCATAATACTTAGGGGGTTTCATTTTCACTGTAGTAATAATACTTGAAATAGTGTTTTAAAGTTTTCAGAGTGCTTTCACATCTATTATTTTATTTAATCCTCTCAAGTCCCTATAAGCTTAGTGGGGCAGGTTTTATCTCTTCCCATTTATAGATGAGAAAAATCAAGGCAAATAGAAGTTATGGTATTCCTAAATTAGTAAGGGAGGTGAACTAGATAGGACTACAATTCAGGACATATAAATTGGGCCCAGGTTGTTTCCTTTCTGTGTTCTGTTGAGAATTTAAATAGAGATTTTTTATGTTGATTTATTTTTTTATACATACAGATACTTTTTATTATCCTTTACTTGTGTGTAGTTAAACTGAACTTTACTTTTTCCCCCTTTTAGGATATCTATGCACTATGTCAGAAACTACAGTATTTTATAGAAAATTCAAATTTTTGTGGTGATGATGATGATAAATTAGGTGGTTTCAAAGATGTTCAAATTATAAGTTCTGGAAAAAAAGCAAGGAGTTATAGATGGATGTTGAAGCTAGATTCACTGTATGCAGCCAACAATGTGTTATTTTAATTGAACTTTAATATTTTGAGTACTTGTACATAGTGTTGTAAGAAATAATACAAAGAGATCCTGTATTTTACTGGATTTACCACTTTCTCCCAATAATAACATCTTGCAAAATTACAGTATCACAACCAGATACTGACATTGATATAATCAAGATTTAGAACATGTCCACAGATCTATCCCCTAGTAGTACTATTTGTTTTATGCTGCTGTTTTGGGGCAGACAGTTGGAGTAAAGATGTGGTTGTCTTTTGCTATATTATGCAAAAAGCTCTGTATTAACAAGAATAACTTAAGCTTACTTTTCTGGCCCTGAAAGTTATCCTTTAACGAAGGAGTGCAATGGTGACAGTCAGATGGGTAATACATAGCCACAGTATGCTGCTTGCAGCAAGGTTAGTGAAGGATGAGCACCCTTCAGACAAACTGCTACACCACGGTCCTGCTAGCTGCCTCATGCTCCAGGGATTTCCCAGTTCATCTGTCTACTTAGAAGACAATGGGTGATTTTTACAGACACACAGGTATCCCAGGTTTCAGCCTTGGAAGCATTCTGGCCTTCATGGAGGAGCCAGTCCCCTTGTTATCAAGCCAGTAAGGCCCTTTTTAGCCCCTGGGGCAGTGTCTATCCTGGATGAACTCCCAAAGTTGGGCTTTTTCAGTCTTGGCATCCTACCTGTTTGTGACCTACTTACAGGTAGCACAGCTTAACTTGCTGCCACAATTATCCTTACACCCTTCCTGTAACTCTCATTCCCCTGTGGCCTTCCAGCCAGAAATTTGGTCCTTGGATCTGGCTTCTCAGCAATTAGCCCTGAGAGGGAAGAATCCGTTGGCTCCTGGAAATAAACTGAAAGCACCCAGAGTTTCCCCACACCTTCAGATTTGCACCTTGCTGTCCAGGAGCTTTCTTCAGCTAGCCTTCCTTCCCAGTCCACTATGGCCAATTCCAATAGCAGTGCGGGCATCCGGTGGTCCAGACAGGAGACGCGAACTCTTCTCTCCATATTAGGCGAGGCAGAATACATTCAACGCCTCCAGACTGTGCATCATAATGCAGATGTCTATCAGGCTGTGTCTAAGCGAATGCAGCAGGAAGGCTTCCGCCGCACCGATCGTCAGTGCCGCTCCAAGTTTAAAGTTCTGAAGGCATTATATTTAAAGGCATATGTTGCCCATGCCACTAGTATGGGTGACCCACCACACTGTCCATTTTATGAGACCTTGGATCAGCTTCTCCGAAATCAGGTAGTGACTGACCCAGACAACTTAATGGAGGATACTGCATGGGCCAAGCACTACGCTCAGAACTTAATGGCCTCTGACAACCCAGGGGAAGAGGAAACCGGCATTCTGAAACCAAAAAGGACTCAGGCAGCAGATCATCAGCCTATCTCAAAAACAGTTAAGGAATCAGATGAGGATTGTCAACTGAGAATCACTGACCAGATGCAAGAAACCAGTGACCTTGAGGACTCCTGGGATGAATCCTCAGGTGCAGGTAATTTCCAAACATGTAAAGGATTGGGTCCCAGAGTCACTTGGTTCTAAACAACAATATATGATTGGATGGTGTGGGTTTGTTTTTTTTTAACATAACCCCTGTTTTTGCCCCTGCCCTCTTTTTTTAAAACCTAATTATAAGATAAGGGGCTCCAGGTATTTAAAAGCTATGACCCTAGGTATGTAAGGTATAGAACTCTTTAATTGTATAAGTGCTCTTTAGAACCAAACTATTTTGGCAATATTTATAATGGGTACTTAGGCATTTGTGGATGTAAAGTGGGTTGGATAGCTAAGTGGAAAGAGGCTCAGTAAGGTAAAGGGAAGGTTTTGGAAATAAGGTTACAATAGGCTAAAATGGCCAGACCAAAGAAATTAATTCTTCCTAGTCCCTTGTGGAAAGAGGATTTTCCAGGATCCACCACAGTTTTGTAATTGTCTCTCAGCTCTGCTGCTGGCTCCATGCATTCCCTTAGCAGGAATGCCCTCTCTGCAACATTGTTGCTTTGTTTTTCAGGGTGCTCTCAAGGGACCCCCAGCTACAACAGTTCCCACCACCTTTTCAGAGGTGCAGTTGCTCCCTGTCAGAGCAGCCCCATGACCAGACTGGGTGTGTCCGGTGAGCCCAGTCCCTGCACCAGCACGGGCCGAAACACTCCTGGGGTGGCCTTCACACAGCAGCCTCCAATCTCCTCCGGAGTTCCTTTTTCTGGTGGGGATAGGCCTTTGACCAGTGAGCCCCCTCCAAGGTGGGCAAGACGAAGAAGGCGGTCAGTGGCCAGGACTATTGCAGCTGAATTGGCAGAAAACAGGAGATTGGCACGAGAACTTTCAAAACGTGAGGAAGAAAAATTGGACAGGCTGATTGCTATTGGTGAGGAGGCCAGTGCTCAGCAAGACACTGCCAATGAGCTCCGCAGGGATGCCGTGATTGCAGTGAGACGCTTGGCAACAGCAGTGGAAGAGGCAACCAGTGCTTTTCAGCTAGGGCTTGAAAAATTGCTTCAGAGATTAATTTCTAACACCAAAAGTTAGGAACTGATGATAAAAGGGTATATACCCTAAACTGGTAGAAGCCCATATCCAAGACTTGCCTTTTGGTGACCTGGATCTTT